TGGGGATGCAACTATTTTAAAATCTGGAATCTGAGGGTGCAAAAAAATCTAAATATTGAGGAAAATCGCCTTTAAAGTTGTCCAAATAGAAGTTCTTAGCAATGCATATTGCTAATCAAAAATTAAGTTTGAAGTGCAGAAGGATGCGCGGATTGGAGAAGCCAAGAACAAAAGAGATGCGGTGATCAGGGTGAGCCTTTCCTGAACTGTGTTCCATATACAGCCTATTTTCTAAATATCACGGAGCATTTTTGTTAACATCCCTCTCATTTCTCTCTTCTCTCTGTTAGGAGGCCAATGCTGTACAGGAGAAGGTATCTGCGCAGTACATGAATGAGATCGAGATGGCTAAGGCTCAGAGAGACTACGAGCTAAAGAAGGCTGTCTACGACATTGAGGTCTTCACCAAAAAAGCGGAGTCTGAAATGGCCTATCAGCTATTGCTACAAATATACCCCAGCGACTTAAGACTGGTTTTGTGCTCCAGGGTCACATTTGTGGTGTTGTGTTTATCGACTTATTAAACAAGGCAAATTAGCGTGAGAGCACAATCCCATAAAAGCACAGATGGAAGTGGAAGGTTCTGCAGATGATTTCCTGACAATGCAGTCTTCATAATGACCACTGCAATCTACCAAGAGCAGCGCAAATAAGCGTAGTGTTGCAAACATGTGTAGCCGATGATAATCATGTGCAGCTAATCTACTAACAACACAGGTGTAAAATGGGTTAAGACATGCTTTTTTTCTGGGTGTTAAATAATGGTGCAAATACTAGTAAACGGACTACCGCAGACCTTAGTAAATCACATAGCACGATTCATTTAAATACTCTCCTATACATTTTAAAAAGAAAACTCTTTACAGTAAGGTTAGCAAAAAATAACGTGTCCTTTTCATCGCTAATGTTTCACTTCGTCTCTTTAGTAAATCCTGACAGTAGTGTTTTTTTAACAGCAAAAGAGGGTTAGTGTTGGCTCGAGCCGTTAGTAAATCTGTCCCTTAATATTTAAAATGCTTTAAATGTATAAGAAAGGATCTGTGAGAGCGGTGAATCAAGTCTTTTTCTTTCAGGAATACCTGCACTCTTTGGGAAAGGCCCGTACGGCACAAGTGCAGAAGGATGCGCGGATTGGAGAAGCCAAGAACAAAAGAGATGCAGTGATCAGGGTGAGCCTTTCCTGAACTCTGTTCCATATACAGCCTATTTTCTAAATATCACAGAGCATTTTTGTTAACATCCATCTCATTTCTCTCTTTCTTCTCTGTTAGGAGGCCAATGCTGTACAGGAGAAGGTATCTGCTCAGTACATGAATGAGATCGAGATGGCTAAGGCTCAGAGAGACTACGAGCTGAAGAAGGCTGTCTACGACATTGAGGTCTTCACCAAAAAAGCGGAGTCTGAAATGGCCTATCAGCTCCAGGTAGAACTACAACCAAACCTTTTTGTCACCTTCAACATTGTGAAAGACTTTATTTAATTTATCCTTGGGGTTCTTGATAAAGCAAAAGTCCACTCCACATCATTTACTCTCCTGCTATGTCGTTCCAAACCTGTATGACTTTCTTTATTCTGTGGAACAGTTTTGGTTCCCACTGATTACCACTGTATGGACAAAAAGTACCATGGAATCACCATGGTTATCAACAATCTAAAATATCTTCTATTGTGTTCAGCAGAAGAAAAAAAATACATACCTGGATGAACTGTCCCTTTACTTATGGAAGCCCGTTTCCGCCACTGAATAAAAAATAAAAGAAGGTAATTGCGAGTGATAAAGTCAGAATTGTGAGATATGAACTCGCAATTGTGAGAAAAAAAAAGTCAGAATTGCGAGTTTATATCTCGCAA